TGGGGCTCGAACTCAAGAACTGCAAGATCATGACCTGAGCCGAACTGGGATGCTTAACCAACTGAGCCACCAGGGTGCCCTGAGGTTATTTATTTATTTATTTATTTAGAGAGTGAGAGAAAGGGAGGGCAGAGAGAGAGAGAGAGAGAGAGAGAGAGAGAGAGAGAGAGAGAATCCCAAGCAGGCTCCGCACTGCCAACACAGAGCCCAATGTGAGGCTCGACCCCACAAACTGTGAGATCATGACCTGAGCCAAAATCAAGAGAGGGACGCTCAACCGACGGAGCCACCCAGATGCCCCGAAAGAGGTTTTGGAGGCCATCTTCCCAAAGATCCCCATTTTAAGCTGAGTGGTCTGAGGCTTGTGAATCTCAAGCCTGAGAGACGGTGATGTATCATGATACTGACTGCAGACCCTGGAGAGGGACCGGCTGGCTGGGATGCTGGCTCATCCCCTTTCCAGTTATGTGATACCGAAGAGGTTGCCTAACCTTGCGTGACCTCTCAGCGCCTCATCTGTGAGGCAGGGATGACCACAGCGCGAACCTCCTAGGGTTATTGTGGGGCCGGATGCGTCAAGACCTGCGAGATCTTTGGAATGGCGCCTGGCTACAGTTAGTACCATACAAGTGTTGGAAATTAAGCCTATTATTATTTGCGTTTCTCTGAGCTCCATGGTGGGACTTGGCAGAACAGTGAGTAGAGTGATACTCCTTGGAAGAGGAGGCTGGTGGAGTGATAGTACTGGAAAGCCGGCTCTGAGGAGTGCCTCTCCTCCAGACCTCCCAGCAGGGTCTCCTGTTGCACCACCTTGACCTGCTGGCGGGCCTGCAGGACTACCCCTCCCAGCTGTGCAGCCGTCTGCCAACGGGCCCAGGTCAAGGTTCCCTCCGAGAGCCCATTTTTTTTTTTTTTCCAGTAAATCAAGGGCATTGGTGGTTTCCAACTGTGACGTGCCCTGATTCCGGGGCACCTGTCTGGCCCAGCCAGCAGCTAAACAGCTTCTCTGGGATCGGCTTCTCCTGGGCAGTTCCCACCCTTACCCAGAACCCTCCGAGCGCCAGGCTGAGAACACTGTCTGTTCCAGGGGACACAGAGGTGTGCATCTATTCCTTACCTTTGTACAGCGTAACACATTTTGCAACATTCATCTGTTTCCATTGTCATTGGATTCTGACAAAACCTGGTGAAGTAAGTGCTATTATTAGTCAAGTTTTACGGAGAAGGAAGCCAAAGTAGGTTAGGTGACGTGCGAGGAGGAGGTAACTACTGCTCTCTAAGGCATCTGACTGATGCCTGCTACGTGACCGTGATCCTGACGGTGTTCTGAAAAACCCGACTCTTTCACAGATCCGTGCTTTTACATGCGCTGTTTTCCCCCTCCAGAAAGTCCTTAATCCTTCCTTTCAAAGGAAATTAATTTTTATTTGATCAAATTAATACAAGCACATAGTTTAAGTGTTTGCGTTATTCTAAAAGGCACGTATCAAAATACAGAAGATCCCACCCCCCACCCCCCACCCCCCCGCCCTAACTTGTCTTCCCAGAAGCAACCGTTTTCACCTTTCAGCTGTTTCTTCTGGTGTCTGCATTTCCATGATGCTGAATAGTATGTGACCACGGCTTACTTCGGGGACTTCGGAGTTTCCTGCTGTCTGGTCTTCCTGTTATGGTAGATAGCGAGTTGGCTCCTCCATCTTCATTTCTTCTGTTTCTCTTCACTTACCTTCTCAGTATGGTTGTATCATGATTTTTGTTTGAGTGAATATTTACTGTTTATCTTGTTTCTATGAGATATTATTCATACCAACGTTGTAGTATACTATGTTACTTTCTTTTGTCTTTACTCAAGTTAGTACTTTCTTTAATTTTTCACCGGATTGGTTTTCTGCTGTGTATTGCTACTTTTTCTTATCCCATCCGATAACCTCTTAAAACACTTTTCTGCCAAAAAAGAAAACAAAACAAAACACTTTTCTGCAAGGTCAGTGCCATCGGTACTCTTGTTAGCTGCTTTCCTTGGGGACACCCCTTTTGGAGATCACCGTTCTTCCGTCTGAACTGGCGGCCTTTTGGGTCCCATACCCAGCTGTTATCCCGGGGTTTCCCTTGGCCTTTCTCCTGGGTTTGAGTCAGGTTCCTGGATCCCATGTCATCCTTTTTTCTGGGTTTACTCTCCGGCTTTACTGACCTACATCCTCCAGTAGATTCATCAGGTGAAAAAGCCATTCTACCCCAGGTGGCACGACAGCAGGAGGCATGGTGATGGCGAGCCCTCCACCTGCCTCTCGTTTGAGCCATTCTGTTCCAGGGTGATACAGTTGTTCCGGGCGTCTGACGCAGTTGGCATCCTGGGATCTCCCTTTACCATCATCCCACACATTCCCTTTACCTCTCTCCTGTGATGGGTTTCCCGTTTTCTATATTCCATGTTTTTCTTTTTCTTGATTTGCATTCTTGTTTTGGTAGCTTCCTAGGCAGAGTATGTGGGAAGTAAATGTTAGACAACTTCTGTCTGAGGATGTTTTTTTTTTCCCTCTTTATATTTTACTCTTTTTAATTTTTTTTTTCAACGTTTATTTATTTATTTTTTGGTTACAGAGAGAGAGCATGAACAGCTGAGAGAGAGGAGGGAGACACAGAATGGAAATAGGCTCCAGGTCTTGAGCCATCAGCCCTGCACCAGTGGCGGGGAGCTCAGAACTCCAATGGACCTGTTTCCAAAGATCGTGACCTGGCTGAAGTCGGACACTTAACCGACTGCGCCACCCAGGCGCCCCTATTTTACTCTTTTTAAATAAAATTTTTTTCAACATTTATTTTTTGAGAGGCAGAGAGAGACAGAATGTGAGTGGGAGGAGCCCAGGGGGAGACAGACACTAGAAGTCAGCAGGCTCAGGCTCTGAGCGCATCAGCACAAGACCCTGTGAGTGAGCGGTAACTCACAGACTATGAGATCATGACCTGAGCTGAAGTGCCAGAGCTGATACTGAGCCACCATGGCCTCTTTTTATTACTTTTATGGGAGTTTTGGCCACAGATTTTTTCTTTTTTTTTTTTATGGTCTAAACTCTCAATTTATTTTTATTATTATTATTTTTTAATATATGAGATTTATTGTCAAATTGGTTTCCATACAACACCCAGTGCTCATCCCAACAGCTGCCCTCCTCAATGCCCATCACCCACCCCCTCCTCCACACCCCCCATCATGGGTCCTGAGAAACTTAACAGGCTGGGTCTAGATTCTAAGTTGAAAATAATTGTCCTTCAGAATTTTGAAGACATTGCTGCATTGCCTTCTTGCCCCCAGTGTTAGCATTCAGAGCAGGAAGACGGTTCTTATTCCTCACTCTTTGCAGGAAACTTATTTTTCCTCTCTGGAGGCTTGTAAGAATGTTCTGGTATTTCATAATGGTGTATCTTGATATGGGTGTCTTTTCATCCTGGAGTGTGCTTGGACACTTTCATTCTGGTAACCAATGGCCTCTAGTTCTGGGAAATTTGAGATTACTGTGATGTTGGTTTCTTCCTCCTGTTTTCTCTGTTCTTTCTTTCTGGAACTCTTGTTATGTGAATATCTGCTTCCCTAGACTCATTCTCTTATTTTCTTATTCTTTCTTCCCCCTTTTATTGATTTGTCTTTTTTGCTCCACTTTCCAGATTGCCTCAGTGTTATCTTTCAACTTTTCCACTGTTTTTTTTTAATGTTTACAATTTTTTAATGTTTACTTATTTGAATTTATTTTTGAGTGAGAGAGAAAGAGAGAGAGAGAGAGAGAAAGAATGCAAACAGGGGAGGGGCAGAGAGAGAGAGAGAGAGAGAGAGAGAGAAAGAATGCAAACAGGGGAGGGGCAGAGAGAGAGAGAGAGACACAGAGTCTGAAGCAGGTTCCAGTCTCTGAGCTGTCACCACAGAGCCCGACGTGGGGCTCGAACTCAAGAACCACCAGATCATGACCTGAGCCAAAGTTGACGGTCAACTGACTGAGCCACCCAGGCACCCCTTTCACTGGGTTTTTAATTTCTAAGAGCTCCTTAAAAATTTTCTTACTGTGGTATCCTATTTTCTTTATGAATGTAATGTCTTCTTTTAGATCTCTGAGACTAGTAATGATGGCTTTCTAAAATTTCCTTCTCCCTGCATAGCTTGGGTTTCTTCCAATTTGCTTTTTTAAAATTTAACTTAATGGTTTTGGTCCTTCTAGTTCTGAGCAAGTGGGAGGGGCCTGAAAACTTGGGGCTTCGTTGTAGGGTGGGTGATCTGGCAGCATTGGAACTGACAAAG